TTATTTATTTTATTTATTTTATTTATTTTATTTATTTTTTTTACTTTATTTATTTTATTTATTATATTTTATTTATTTTATTTATTTTTTTTATTTTATTTATTTTATTTGTTTTATTTTATTTATTTATTTAATAAATAAAATATTTTTTTTATTTATTTATATTTATTTTTTATTTATTTAAGATAACATGTTATCTTAAATCATGATTTAAGATAACTCAAACTTCGAAATTTTCATTTGTTAAAAGTATTACTAGATATTTATGATAGTTGTAATATCAATGGAATAAATATAAAAAAAATAAAATAATAAAAAAAAATTTAATGATTAATTAAACAAGGAAAAAAATATTGCAATAATGATAGTTATTGGGTAATACTATTAAAAAAGATACTTATTTAATTAATTTATGAAAAACTTATAAAATTAGTGAATGTGGTAGAAAATGGACTAATTTGTGCCACTATTATTATTTTCAAACCCAATTAAAAACAATTTTACATATTAACTATATTTTAATAACTCAAAAAATATAGGTCAGAAGTGAAATTCATATCAAATCAAATAAAATGAAGCTGAAAATTATTTTAAAACTCATTTTATTTTTACCTTTTAAAATCTGTGCAAATAAATTCGCATCATTTTCGTCATAAAAGGGTGGATAACCACATAGCAGTATATACGATATTACTCCAATACTCCAAACATCAACAGCTTTACCGTACGGTTTTTGAGCTAAAACTTCTGGAGCAACATATCCTGGTGTACCACAAGCAGTTGCCATTATGCCAGAATCTTCCATTTTCGACAGACCAAAATCACTGATCATTATTTTACTATCATCATCGGGACTATAGTAAAGCAAATTTTCCGGCTAAAATTAAATAATTAGTTATTTGTTTTTTGTCATCAAATGAAATATATAAATATGTCAAAATTATAAAAAAGGTAGCATAGATAACGTAATAAATTATTTGTAAAATTTTTTTGTTTTCGTTTCAGAAAGGAAAAAAGTCGTATCACAAGAGTCAATTGTCAATATCTACCAAAAATCAGGATGCCAAAGAAAGGTGTACCAAAAGAAACTTTCAGTCATTTGTGCTAAAATGGGATCATAAATTATGAAGATTGTAAATACGTAAGTATCCAGAATAAATGTACAATATTCTTTACCACTGATGAAAAGAAACAAAATACGAAAGTAATTGGTTGTGAATTCATCGACTGACTTTACTGGAGAAATTACTTTTCTTTTATATTCACCACTATTGTGAATGAAATGGGAATGAGAATTTTTTCCCATTTTTCCCATTCGCTTCGGTAGAAAATTCGAAGTCCTCATTCCCGATCAATTGGACTGGGAAAACGGCTCTCCTAGAGTAAAACACTTCTGATTTCATGGTACACCGACAGTTGAAAAACCAAAGAAGGAGTTTATGCAGGGATATTTGATCCTTATACTAGAATCTCGTTCGCGTTGGGTATATGACCCACTGTCTTCCAAGTAGAGGTTCACGCTATCGAGGTCTGCGCTCGTATCAATATAAACAATGGGTTGAACGGCGCCCGTATCTGTATTTATTCAGAGTTTTCCTCAAAGCTTCTATTAGACTGCTATGACACGCTACAGCAACTGGCAAACAAAAACAAAATGATGCTTTGCTGGGTCCCTAGTCACAAAGGAATCAACGGCAATGAGTCTGCCGACAGTCTCGCGTGGTCAGGATCTGTCACTCAAACCTTTGGACCGGAAGCATATTGTGGACCAAGTTGGTCTACAACTAGGCTCTGATTGATAATGATGCTACTGGCGCGACATTCCATGCAACCGGCAGGTTAAAGAGCTGGTTCATTCCTATAGTTATGGTAAGGTATCCTTCCATAGTTAAGGCTGCTGAACAGAGTTAAGGTTGCTGGTGGGATATTTAACGGCTCACCATGGACTGCGTTATCAATTTAACAAAATGGGTCTGTCTGAAGAGATAGATTGTCGACTCTGCTTAGAAGCAGACAAGACTTCCAGTCACTTTCTTTGTGACTGCCCAGTCTTGATCTGGGTCAGAAAGAGGTCACTGGGTCGAGAACTTCTCCCCCCTTCTGATATTAGGAGGTCCTTAACGGCCAACATTCTAGCTTCCATTCGGAAGGCGGAATGTCTTCTGTTCGGTTAGGGTCTGTTGCAGCACAAAAGATCAACCATGGTCGCAGTGCTCCGCACCGTTAGAAGCTGGTACCCCGTTTATCCCTATTCCTACATTAATAAATAAGATATATCACTTTGTTTAACTGTTTTTAAGAAAAAATAAATTATGTCAATATTTAAAAAATAAAATATATAATTAATTAAAATAAAAAATAATTAAAATAAAATAAAAGTTTTCAATTATTTTTTTGTAAGTTATTCATTATTAAATGCAATTGAATGCATTTTTAAAAATTCAAATTTTTTGATTTAAAGCAACATTAACTGAAGCGCATTTCTCTTCATTTGTTTGTTTTGATTCTTATTTTAGTACTTTTCGCTATCAAAAATGCAAATTCTGCCACAGTTTAACAAAAAAACTTTTGTTGTTCCCACATTTTAAGAGAACAGCTGTCTTCCAAGCAATTCAGATCAAGAGAAGTCAATTTTAGAGAAAAATACATTCTGAGAGAAACTTATTCCCTGGGAAAATGCAGAATAGAATACAATATTATGTATAAAAATATGAAGCTCTACTTCCTGTTAGGTGCGCTCGCCAACTCTCGTTATATTCATACGTACAGTATCCTAGTACTCACGTTATACACGGAAAAGTTAAAAATTAACTTTTGAATGAGCACACCTCTTAGGAATATGCTACTGACAAAACAAAAAAAATATATATCCAAGTTTTGTGGGAATAGGAATAAAAATGACGTTGCACCACTCGAGCAAAGTTGGATTTTCAGTACAAAAACGGAAATTTTTAAATTCAAGGTCATTTTACATCTTTGTTACTTATTACTTATGTTATTGTGTTTTAATTATTACTTATGCGCAAAACACAGTGGCGGAAAGTGGTGGGTTGCCGAATTAGGTTTTTTCTGATGAGTCACCATTTAAGTAATATGGACAGTGTGGGCCGCTAGAACAGCTGACGGCTTCTCTCCGCCCGTGTTCATTCACCGTGGGGTAAAAATAAATACCCAAATCTATTGGTAAATTATTTAAGTGGGAGCACTAAGCACCGGTCAGATAAGCATTTTGGTTGTAGGCGTTTGACATTGCAGCAGGACTCAGCACCATCGTACAAAGCACGCGTCAACTAAGAATGACTGAAAAACAACGTTCGATGTTTATTTGATATAAACCGTTTAAATTTCTCGATTTGGGTTATTTTAAAAAGTAAAGTCAAATCTGATAAATATAATACTTTAATTATAACATTATTTTGTTTACAATAAAGTTAAGGCATAGTAAATCAATATTGGAAAATAAAATCAACTCTATAAATAGTTCTGAGTTTAATTGTGGCAAGTTTATCAAAACCTTCCGATATATAAACCCAAATAGTATATAAGACATCCGGTCAATCAGTCACGCAAAAATATCATGAAGTCCTTTTCGAAATAAAAGAGGTCAGAGTAGCTGAAATGTTCAGAAAGCAGGTATATTATAATAGGTTAGATTTTTGAGGCCTATCTCGTTTGCGATAGCAGTCGACGACTTCTTGGGGCCTTTCGAATTTCTGTATAACCTATCTGTAAAATAAACTTAATCAGTTAATTTGTTAATAAATCGTTTGGAAAATTTTTCTCAATCGAAAAAACGATATTAGACAATTTGTTGGGTTGGGGCAAAAGATTTAATTTTAAAATTTAAAGCGCTTTTCATTTATATTTTCTTCATTTACTTCTAAAAATTTTAATATATTTTTAAAATATTTATTTTCTACAGTTTTGCATACTCTTCAAATATTTTATTTCCACAATTTTAAAATTTGTGAAATTTTTTTAATTTTAGCCATAATTTTTTTTTAGCATCACTTTTAAAATATGGTAATATGGTAGTATGTGGCATCAGATTTCCACACCGTGATATTCATAAGGCAACGTGGCTATCTCCCGATCAATCAACACGAAACCAGATTGATCACTTCGTGATTGACGCAAGGCACACTTCGAGTGTGCTTGGCGTACATTCATTCCGTGGTCCAAATATCGACTCAGACCACCACCTTGTCGCAGCCGAGTTACGCATAAGGCTTAGTACCGCCGACAATGTACGCTGCGCACGACAAAACCAATGGCACGACGAAGAGTGTCGCCGAACTACTACTGCGAAGAATGCAGCCTATAAAAGGACCTTGCAGTCAGCAGCTACACGTATCGTCCGTAAACACTATCGGGAGATAAAGAAGGTAGAGAGATACGTATTCAAAAACGGAAGAAACGAGAATGAGAAAGGCGCAACCGACAGATAATCGAGGTGTATAGAAACTGGAATGCTGCCCGTAAATTTTATCAAAAAGTCAACCTTCCGATTCAAGGCTTTAAGCTTGGAGCATCAACCTGTAAGGTCAAAAATGGTAATCTGGTTACGAATACACAGAGTGTATTGAAAGTATGGAAGGAACATTTCTCCAAACAACTATCTGGCGATGATAGCATCAAGTCCGTCTTTGGAGAAACGCTCTCGAAGTACCCAATTAAAAATGATAGTGTTAAAAATCTACCACCTACCCATAACGAAGTGCGTGTTGCTATGCAGCGACTAAAGAACAACAATGCGGCAGGCGCAGATGGTCGATGGCGATATGCTGACGTATGCATCAGCTCAACTGCAGAATATGGTGGGATGGAAGCATTCTCAGCGATTGGAATCTCAGTATCCTGTCTTGGAAAAAAGGGGACCTGACGATTTGTACCAACTTTTGCAGGATCAGCCTAATACCTATTGCGTAGAAATTCCTTTTACCGGTACTGTGTGAAAGGTTGAAACCACATGCCAACTTAACACCTTTTTGTCAATTATAAAGCAGCTTTATAAAGCAGCAATCATGCGCAGGATAGGTGTTCGTTGTAATGAACCAGATTCTTGCTTACGCCGACGACATTGACATCATTACGCGTACCAAGCGTGATGTTACAGCTACTTTTGTTGCTACCGAAAAGAAATCTGCTGAAATAGGCTTAGCGGTGAATGAGGGCAAAACGAAGTATATGTTGGCTACTGGTAAAAAATGTGCGCCGCTCAGATGCCGAGTTAGAGGCTGGCGATTATACTTTCGAATCTGTCAAGGATTTTATCTACTTTGGCATCGCCGTTACGATGTCAGCCTGGAGATCAGACGAAGAATCATCATTGCTAATAGGTGCTACTATGGGCTCGGTAGGCAATTGGGATGTAAAGCTCTCTCTCGACAAACAAAACTTTCCTCTCGAGAAGAAACTTTTTCGTGAGATCTTTGGTCCTCTACGAGTTGGCGACAACTACCGCATACGAATGAATCACGAGGTGTACGAGCTTTATCAGGACGCTGATATAATTCAGCGAATTAACATCCAGCGGCTTTGCTGGATGAAGATGCTACAGCGAAAAAGGTATTTGAAGCAGTAGTTGAAGGAAGAAGAAGTAGAGCTAGATCGTGTTTCCGGTGGAGTGATCAAATTGAGGCAGCACTAACTGCGCTGGAAAAAACTGCAGAGACAACCGACTACAGTAAAGTTCCAGTCGTGATCAATTTTTGCATATTTAAAAGCATTTCTACCTCACAATTATACATACATTCGAATTCAGACCGTTCCTCAGACCATTCTCCCCTAATTATTATTATTATGAACTCAAAAATCTTTTTAAAGAACAAAAACACTCGATTATACAACAAAAGTACATACTAGAGTATTTTCGGGAACATTCCACTTAGAAGCGGTAACGATATCAGATCTGCGGTCGAGCAATTCAATATAACGATACAGAATGCCGCTGGAAATTAACCATGCATATCAATGGATACAAAGAATACCACATTGATGCATAAAGGAAGTTACTTCAAAAATGTTGGTGCGACGAATTTGGCAAGTAACAAAAAATCGTAAGCACAAAAGACGTTTATATGAAGCTATAAAAAAACTTAAAGAAACCTTTAGAGAGAACAAAAACAAATACATTGAAGCATACTTATCTAAATTGTCTCCCAGTAAAGCAACCGACTATCCATTATGGCGGGACCCTAGCACACTGAATGGATCAACGCCACACATTTCACCACTCAAAATTTTTAATGGACATTAAGTTAGATCCAGAATCGACAAAGCTCAAACCTTCGCAGAGCATCTCTAAGGTCTGTTCCGACCATGCCCGTCTAGAAATCACGAAAACGATGCTGAAATTGAGGCTTTTCTCCAAACACAGCATCAAATGGATTTTCCCGTCCCAAAAACCACAATATAATAAATTAAATTAAAATTCCTGGGTACGATTTGATCACTAGCAAAGTGTTGAAAGAACTACCAAACATTGGTCTTGTATTCATTCACCAACTTTTTAATACTATTATTAGTCAAGAATATAATACAAGTCAATGAAAAGTAGCCCAAATTATTCTGATATCAAAACCAGGTAAACCGTTAGAATAAGTTACATCTTAAAGACCTATAAGCTTACTTCCAGTGCTCTCCAAAGTCTTCAAAAAAATACCATATAATTTAAAGTCGCATACTAATTCCTGGTCACTAATTCCACCAATTCACCAAGTGCAACGAAACAAATGACGCATTAAAGCTAACGAATCCAAACCTACACAAACTCCATTCACACTTCACCATGGTGACTGCCCACCAGATACACTAAATAATTACGTACTACCGCAATCAAGTCGCGAGAACTATCTGAGAGTTCATCTTGATCGGCGTCTCATCTGGAAACATTATATATTTACAAAACTCGGTGTAAAAATTCGTTCCATGTACAGGCTTCTTTGCCAAAACTCAAAGCTATAACTAAACAATAAAGTACTTCTATATAAAATTATTTTAAAACTAATATGGACTTACAGTGTCTCGATCTGATATTACAGAGATTTGAATCAAAAATAATTCGTTTATGTGTGGCTGCTCTATGGAATATCCCAAATAGTACTTAAAAGAGCGATATCCACGTGCCATCAGTGTTTGAAATAATATAGTCAGCAAAAGAAGGTTATCAAATCCCCCGATTTGCACACGAGCTGTTATCAGATATCAACCATTCACGTCGACTAAGAAGATTTTCTACGTCGGATTTGCCATATAGAACCCAAAATACGTGAATCGTTATAGTGAACTCACTGATATTAAGCATTTATTGCCAACTACTTATTCATTATTAGTTGTAATTTAATCTTTAGCGGTGTTTACTACAGAGTGTCCCGCACATATTTACATATCATTTTATTCTTTTTTTTATCCATAAGTAATACTGAATGTTGTATTTCCAAATAATTAAATAATATATTAAAAAAAAATTTAAAGCACGCAGAAAATGTCCACTTTTAAAAAGCATCAATTGTAAACACGCTTCCAAGAAAGAAATAGGATGTATATAAACTTTTACTTACTTTGAGATCTCTATGAACAACACCTTGTTCATGCATATAATCTACAGCTTCTAATATTTGTCGAATTAAATGTGATGCATCTTTTTCTGTATATGACCCTTTTTCAACGATTCGGTCGAATAGCTCCCCTCCTGTCACTCTAAAATTGAATAACAGACATAATAAATTACCAAATTATATAAAACATAAAATTAAGCTATATACAGTATAAAGCTTAAAAATTGTTTTTAATAATAAAACTTACAATTCCATTACCAGATACACCTTCGATTTGTCTTCATATGTTTCGAGTAATTGAACGATATTCGGATGTGTCAACCTACGAATTGATTACATATTTATATGAGAAAAAGCATATGCAAAAGTATCATTATAATAATTTACATAAATGTTAATACCTGCCACACCCACTATCTTAATTTTAGTTTTTTGGAGTTCATGAAAAGTCTTATATGTACGTGAATAATATAGGTAATGACTATCACCATTTTAGAATGATTTCAAGCTAAGCAACGATTTCAATATCGTCAATATAACATAATCTAAAAACGGCAACTACAACCACTTATCAAAAAACACTCACCGTACTCCTCTAGAGTTGCTAGCATCATTCTCATTGGCACTGAACCTACAGAAAGAGAACAGCAGTGAAAACAAAGAAAAACTATTAAAAATAAAATTCTACTAACTTAAATATTTAATTATGAAAAAGATGTAAAGTATATGTAACTAAAACATTAATTTAACTTGCAATAAGTAAAAAAATGAATAATAATCACAGATTGAATTTTTATTTAAAAAGAAATGCATGAAACTTTTTTTTAAATATGATTTATGAAAAATTTGATGAAAAAAAAATTTATGTTTGATGTTAAATTTAAAAATTTTAACTTAATAAAAGAATTATTTCTAAATTTACCGTATAGTTATTTAATTGTTTATTAGAAATATTTAATTGTTATTTATACAAGTAAATAACATGATATTAGATATGATAACATGTTATCATATAATTGAGTTCTGAGGGTGTTAGTACTTTGCTCAACCCAAGCTAAAAGTTATAATATTGAAGGTGAACTCATTTTATTTTGATTTTGTTTGTTGAACCCACCACGCTCCAGAAAGTAGATAAGTTCTAATTTACAATAAGCAGCTTAAGTTTGATCAATATTTGGATGATCACCTTGTATAGTTCGTTAAAATATTTTTAAGATTTACGATATGCCTTTTACGTTGGCACAAGAGCATAAATGATTTTAATATAGCATTCACTAACTAACTGGTCTTCACCAACAATCTCGACTAGTAAATCAATTCAAAAACTAATGGAATATATGCCGACTTTTATCTTATGTACTATATCTCCTCTAATAAAATGTACAATACAAAATATAGCATTCAAAATTTAAGAAAACTTTTCATTTATACAAAAGTAATATAAGAATGGCCGCTTATATCAGTAAATTGTTCGTCACAGCACATCCCCCTCAATCAATGCTACTGTTAAGAAAATTGCAGCTATATCGGATGATGCAAAAAGCTACGACTAATCAATCGCAAGAGATCCTCATCGGCAAAATTTTATTTAAGCTTCTGTGACTTTGTATTGACACATTCAACTACTTGTCACCAAAATAAATCTTTAAGACTATCATACATTCTTTTAGAAATTTTATGCAGGCCTATATATGGTCTGAACGCAAGAAAATCCCGTGCAGTCGATTGATTGTTATATATGATGCTTGACGAAGAATTAGCTTGCTGTAGTCCATCATGCCATTTGCTGTAAGTTAGTGAGGCGACATGCGAATAGATTCGGTTCTCAGTAAGTTAGTAAGAGCTCGAAACAAATCCAAACAAAACCTGCCATCATAACCCTCTTCAACCCTCATACCCACCATTATCCTCATTTTATTTCTTTTCTCTAATCCAGAATACCGCTTATCGATCAGATTTGTTTGTTATCAGGAGAACACATTGTAGTCTAGTATAGCACTACACTTGTACCTGCCCGCCTCAGTAAGTAACCGTGGACTTATCGTGTAATTGCGGGCTATAAGACGATGGACCCTTTTCTCCATATTCGCAAGGTCCCCATAATGAAAAAGATAAACAAAATAAATAAAATAATCTAGCACGCTTATAGACGTAGAAAACGAAACTTCTAAGTGGTAAAGGTAGCAAATAGTATTTGTGCTATCTCAAAGAAGGTTTAACGCCGAAAAACGAAATACAATAAGAACTTGATTTTCGAAAATCAAGTTCAAAATCTGTTCAACATAGTTTTAAGACGCCTATTTGTCAGTTTTTTGATGCAGCTCATGTTGTTCTGCTTTGGCACAAAAGAGTAAAAGCTGGAAATTCTACCAAATTCTTACCCTGGGTACATACTCTCTCATGATGAACAAAACAAAATGAAAGAAGTTCTCATCTAGGAGATGTATAAAGGATAGAAATCCAAATTACTTTTGACGGCCGAAGGAGCCTCTGAATGTCTGCAGTTAAAGATACAACAGCTGTCAGAAAAGATAGTCACAAATTTGGTGGCAAGCATCAGGGATAATATATGTACCTGACGTATATTACAACTTATTTGTGGAGCTGAAGAATGATAAGCTGGTGATAAATGGTTTTGATGATTAATCACTGCAAACGATTAAAGCCAGCAACTGCAGATTAACGCAATCGCCTTCCAACTGCATGAAACCGATGTAGCGGAAAAATAGAGGCATCCAAGAGGATCGAGGATGCCAATTTAATATCCTAGTAGAGTGAAGATATTAATAAGCTGTACTAACTTGGTAAGCGAAAGTTTTTCTGTCACACATGGATAATGTTCTAATAGAGAATGAATAGATTAGCAGCCTACAATGTTTAGCATTAAATTTTAAATAATACTGTATCATGTAGATAACATGGAACATTTGATGTGATAAACCACAAAGCTGCCTGACTTTAAATTACATAAATTTTCTTTATCTTTCAGAGTTCCTATCTAGAGAGTTAGCAGCAGCGCAGGTCACGAATCATGTTAATTGTGTATCTCTGCATATTATAGCAACGGGTTATCTACCAAGCGATGACTAACTAACCAAAACTAACCAAAATCATAATTTCAACTATAGTTTTGGCTACATATCAAATGATATTTGTTTATCTGATATACCGTTTACCGTATACTTGTGTCATCTGAAACCTTGTCAGAAACAATTTTAAATTTAACAATTTTTTTATATGAGTCAAAAATTGATAGTATATCAATTATTTTTATTTAATAATTTGTAAATTGTTGTTTATTGAATATATATTATTTTTCGTTTTTTTGTTAGTTTTTTAGTTAATTCTAAGATGATGCAACAAAAGGTATTTCCTTTAACATATTTTTTTTTAAATAAAATAAAAATAAAAAAAGTTTTTTGGTGTACATGTGTTGGTGTGTTAAGTTTAATATAAAGAGACAAATAAATGAACATTTTTTTTAAATATATAATTACAATAAGTCTTTTACAATATATAAAAGCAACTAATATCCTTCAAGAACTTTATTTTTTATAAAATTAAAAAAAAAATCATATTACACAGTTCAATCTAAAACAAGTTAATATTTACTAGATTTTGAGCCAAAATACATTATGTGAAAATTAAAAATCATATAGTTGAAGACACTATGATAAAATGTGAGGACTCTAGAGTAACTTTAAATTATTCAATATTTTCAATTTAATTTCCATAACATAGCCCCAACAGCACGCTAAGAGACACTACAATTTTAATTAGAACATAAACCAAATTAGACGATCAGAATTCGGTGTGGTTTGAATCAGTAGAGACATTAAAATGATATTTTGCTTAAATAAAGTCAGGAGTTGAGAAGGACCCTCTTTTAAATGAACACCTCCAAATTTGTGCTCAAATATGGCCAACTTGTCAATTTTTTTGAATATCTCAAAAATTATAATAGGTAGAAAAATCAAGTTTTTACTATAACTCCCACACTCAATAAAAAGTTTTATTTTTAAAAACCTTTTATTCTAACATATTAGTCTGTGTATATTTATTACATATAAAAAATACAAATTGAAAAAAGGGGGCGATCCGCGCATTAGTTTTTAAGTTATTTACAAATTTTTTTTAAAACTTATTGAGAAATGATGATTTTTTACGTTTCGTAAAGCTTAGTATAGATAATATGCAGTGACTTACCAATTATACCGAAATTATAACTTTGAATTTGTAAAAAATAAACAACTAATAATTTTTTACACACATAATATATGTAGAGGCATAAATAAAAGTGAATTTATATATATATTTGTAACTAAACAAAATAAAATTGTTTAAAGAAATAATCACATTTGAATTATTGGTTTAATCAACTAATCAGCACATCGAAGTACGTTAAATAATTTTTACAAGGATTAAATAGTTTGACTAAAAATTAAAATTTATATGGTTTAAATTAAGAGAGTGGATGTGGCAATATAACTTAAATTAAATATATATAACATCAGGTAAACACAACGTTATCAATTAACATGTAAAATATATATTATTTTATTTATATAACACTTAGGACTTATATATAACTTAATTTTATATTATGAGGACAATTAAATAGACAGTTAGTTGCCTTTAGAACTCTAAAGCGTGGTGCTGACTTTGATCATGACTATCAGTCCACTTGCGCCCAAACTTGAACATGCTTATAGTCAAGATATGTCAGTCAAGCAAAATTTTTAAATAGTATGTGTGTTTGCGCACACTGTTACTACGATAGTAATCACGCAAAAATATGCTATTGACTGACTGAATGCAAATTTTTAGTGACAGATTAGCATTCAGAACACGTTGGCGACAAACTGATTGATGATCAAAATTTTGGTGAGCATGCCAGTATATTGATTGAGTGTCATTCAAAGATGCAGACTTGGAGTTTTAATCACAGTTATAGCATCTTCTCTATTGACTGACAGACTGACAGATTGCAAATCTGTACAACAGCTTAAAAAGCTAATTTTCAATGACATTGATTTGAATTTCACTTTTTTATTACATAATATATGTATTATGACTAATTAGGTTAAATAGCTTTAAAAATGGTTGTAGATCAAATTTATCTAAGTTTTGTAAACGCGGTTTCATTTTTTTATTAGTAACTCAGTAAGTCTGTTAGTTATAACAGAAGATAAATTAATTTTTTTTTTTAACAAACTACACAGGAATATATTGAAAGTACATTAAAGTAGATTAAATTAACAAGTTATCGCTTTCTGCCAATGACAGTATTAGAACTTCTTACACTGCACTAAGAATAGAATATTCCATATAATTTATACTGCTTGAAATATACTACTTCTTCTCCAAATGTATTCATTTCGCAACCACAATAAAGAAAGCATAGGAAGGTTTGCATTCTTTTAGGTTTCTTTGAAAGTAGTATTCATTTACATTGCATTTACAATTTATTTACAAAAATTATTAACCAAGGTTCAGCATCATAAAACTATATAGCAACAGTAATAAAATATAAATATAACAGTTCAATCTTAATGAGAGAAAATTTGTTTTTTTGGATATTAATTTTATTTTATAAGGGAGACTTCTGCTTCCTTTCAAAATTATTTATTTTTTCATTTATTACCATATAAAAAATTTATTTTATCGGTAATACTTGTCTTTATCGTTTTTCAGACACGTATCAGTAAAGTGTTTATACAGTAATTATTATTCTCTTTAATCTATACAAACCTATGATATATGATAATAAACTGATATTACCTAATCCATAAGCTTTTATTAAAAATATTTAAATACCATAATAGTTTATTTAAAATATATATGAAATGTTTAAATTCACTTGAAATATATACATACTTATAAATAATTAGCGTAGCAAATTTATATAAGTTAATAATATTTAAATACATAAAGTTTAATAGTAATAGTAATAAATGGGACCATTTTAAATAAATTTAAGTATTTAAATTAAAGTACCAAATTATTGTATGTATATTTTAAATAATGTTCAAACTTTGCTTACTTTCTTAGTACACGAATCTCATTTTCAAGTGACTCCTCTTTGCCTTTTAATGCCTTTTTATCAATTATCTTTACAGCAAAGTGATCTCCAGGGCTTTCTTTACTTTCTGCTAATCGGACTTCAGAAAAAGCACCACTAAAAATTATAATTAATTGTATTTTATTTTATTTGTATTAATTGTATATATATAATTCTATTATTCTAAATCTATTTTTATATTAAAATTGGGCTCAACTACAAAGACAATAGAAAAATATCGCACTAGACAGGATTAAGTAAAAATTGTAAGCAAACAAGCAACTGAAATAAATAGCCTAAATCATTTTTATATAGTATGTAGAGAACCTAATGTAGAAATTTAGAAATATTTGCTCTTCCGATTGTCCTTTTCGTTTTTTACACAAATCAATCAATGATCAATCGATCTAATACAACAGGACTGTCCAGACCAAATAAGATCGCGGATAAATACAAATCATTGAATAGATAGGAGGGCCGCACTAATAAATAAATTCGTTCATAATTTTTCCAGAAAAAATAAAAATATGGCTATAATGCTAACTTTAGTTTTATTAATTCTTCATGAATTTATCTACCAATTATCTAAAATTGTCTATTCATTTATTTTATCACTATCACCATTATTAAAATTAGTGGGTGCTGTATGAAAAATATTTTATTATTAATGTTATGTTGAAATAATGTTGCACATAGAAATATGTACTAAAGTCTTTGTCAATTAAGTACATTAGCTTGAAGTATAATAAATTATTTAAAACATTTAAATTCATTTATTTGGGATACCATAAAAATAAAATACTGTGATTTTACTAAAATATAACAAAGAAAAATTTCCCTAACTATTTCTAACATGTCACGGGCCGCACATATAATAGCTGCGGATTAGCCTAGATTAGCATTACAGTGAAATCAAGTTGTATGTTTTAATAAAAATAACAACTGAAAGGTTAGCTAATCCCATAAATATGCAAATGCTTTCTGCTATGTATACGATTCTACTGTTTTTATAGTTGAACCAAACTTTATATATATATATTATAATATATATTTATATTTTGCATGAAGTTTCTTTTTAAAATATTATAAATATGTCCAAGAATTTAAAAATAATCGTATTAAAAATCATTTTATTCCCGTCAATATTATCAATACATGAAAGAACCTCCCAGTCAGAAAGATCCTAATACTTTCAACACGATTCTCCAAGCAAAACGCAAAAATTAATAAAATAAATTGAAATATCTTATTAAACAAAATTATCCAGAATGTTTAATTTTACTCTAACATTTATTTTGTGTCCTTAATATAATTTTGGAATATTTCGAATTTGGATACAGTCTGTATCTCATTTGTCAAATTCGCTCTCGCTAACGTTTCAAGAGTGTTTAATTAAACAGATATGTTCAACAATTAATGATATCATAAATTGTTATATCACAAATTTGGCTACTTGTAACAAATAGTTTTTTACACCCTAATTTTACCCGCCTAATTTAATCTACACTGGAAGAACCTAATAATCTACATATCATATAGATCCTTACCATATATTTTACTGAATAACTTAGACGCCCTTATTTGATACACTCAGTGATGGTATCATTAGAAAGATTTCTATATACGTTCGAGTTTTTAATATACCAGCGAATTTTAAATATTTCTCTTAGGAGTTTGGAGTTCGTAGAATGTAAATTTAACTGCATGACTATGTCACAATCATATAGCAAAGATGTAAAGCTGATACAGATTTCGTCTTATGTGAAATCTTATGTAAATGAACTTTACTTTAATGAACTTTCATAGTATTTCGCCACTAAATATTGTCATTGCTAACTGTTAACACTTTTCGATTCTAATGAATTGGTTTTGTGTTTGAACTATTGAATTTGGTCTTCCATTTACGAAAATAGTTGACCAGCTCCTCGCTATATACCTTCAGAATGTCAAAAATGTAAGTTATACTTTATGAAGTATAGATGATTTTGAATTTTAACTCGAATTTTAAAATAAGTGAAAAATATTAGTTGTATACTCTAATAACCAGATAAAGTTGTGCCACCACATCGGTGAAAGTGAGTAGAATTATTTATTTTTAAATAAATTAAAAATGAGTAATGATATTTCTATTGTAAAATAATAGACAGAAATTAATCACCAATACGAACGGTGCTAACTTGTATATCTAAAAAATAGATTGTTTAAAAGTTTAGAACCAGAACTAAACCAAATCCCAAAACCATCCATTATGTTTAAGTAAAAACTAGAATTAAATAGAAAAATATATATTAGCTTATTTTGTTTCAGTATTGTACAGTTTGACACCTATTTATTTATTCCTCTTCAATGGTTAAAACTTCAAGTTAAACGTCCAAAACAGATTTTATAAATAAAAGTCAAAGTTTAGAATCTTACTAATAATTCCATAACTTAATTGTTTCAAAAAAATCACCAAAATCCGGAAAAATATTGTTTTATTAGAACTGATCCTATACATATTTATCTTTAAACCGAAAAGAAAAAAATTCCGTTTATAGTCTTGGATTTATAATATTTTTTCTGGATATTTTTTTGGGCAGGAATTTAAAAAAAGTAATAAAATATAGCGATAGAAATTAAGAAAGGATTTTTTTTAGAAGATAGCCCCTCCTGTAAAAATAAGCTAAAATAATTTACATAAAACAAATTTAAGCTTTTACAACATATCTCGGTTATAACAAACTTATATTATTTCTAAATTTATTGTATTTTGAAAGGACCACCGTATAATGTTAATTAATTTAAAATCTTAAAATGAATCCTTTTTTCAAGATATTCCCTTTTTGCCATGCACTTTCTAAGTAAAGTCCCCTTATTTTTATAAATACAAGAATGCCGAAAGCAAGACGTCTGAATATTTTATGTTTATATGGCAATAACGCTTTTCTTACATATATAATTTGATCTTTATAATTATTTTTAGAACTGATATTAGATCATTAAATACAATTGTATTATAGTAGGCTAATTGATCAGTTACTTTCCATTATTGTTACAAATAAAAATGAACAAAAACTACTTAAATTATTTCATGTTAATTTTTATTTAATTCAATATTTTAACTTTAATCGAAAGTCGTCTTCAGGAATATACATCAAAAACCCAATGGTATACATATGTCATATACATATGTTCGACGTCAATACTTGGTTCGAAACTTTAGGTACATACATATGTAAATTATGCTTTTATACATTTTGTTTCTCTTATTTCTAGTATCATCCTCATTATTTTTGTTTTGATAATAATTTTCACAGAAGAACAGATAAAGACATTTCCCTTCAAAATTCTTCAAACTTTATTTTTTTACTGCATTATAGAACGTTGATTCCGTTGGATAAGTTAGATCTAACTTACCCAAAAATGGTCGGACACAAACACAAAGAGCGTTTGCTTCATATTGCATTTCATCAGATCACGATCCAGACTAAAACAATGTGAAAATTCTACACCAAGAAAATAACCAATGCAAAGGTTATTTCTTGAAAATGCCCGCGATTTTGGAAGTCCCAACCAACACCAGGCTTAATTTTAAAACTGACATTGACAACTGCTCAGAGATGTATAAAAGTATTATACATAAATAAACAGGTGCAGGATTACACATTGCAGTATAAAGTTTTTAAAAGCTTATTTTTCTGGATTAAAGTCAAGATTAAAATTTTTTAGGTTAAAGTCGAAATACTGAATTAAATAAAAATTAGTGTGAGATAATAAAATTGTTTTTGCTTATTTTTATTTGTAAGAATAGTTAAACGTAACTAGCTAATTCACCCAATACAACACAATAATAGTAATTTTGGTCATAAAGTGATAAATCATTAATTACACCATCTATGTAAATCGCAACCACGAAGGGCTTAATTTAATTGATTTATATCAAAACACAATTTATTGTACTTAATCCACAAACAATAGGGCATCGGTAGCTTTCGAAATAAATTTTTAATTTTTTATATAAATTTATGTTTTTTATTTCATTACTCGTTTATATTAAGTTTTAAATTACCTATCTAAGAACAGCTTAATTATAAGCAAGCTTAATTATTTGATTTACATGAAATATATTATATAATTTAATATGTGTTTTACTTACGTTCCTAGTAGTCCGTGTAAATTGTACTTATCTTCAATTGAAATCTGTTTGTTAAATTCTTTGAATTCTTTTTTTACTTTTTTTCCTGAATCCTTTTTGCCAAACAGAGGCATTTTTGAATAACTGTTTATTTTTTTCAGGCTATATCTTTTATATCTTTTTTTTTAATATTATTGGATCTATAAATTAAACATCCCGTATAAAATAAAAATCAAACTATTATAAAATACGTCCGGTTTCTTGAGATTAAAAAAAAATTTTGTATTTTAGACTTTCTTATCTCTAAAACCTAGAAACGACTATTTAAATTCAAGTTTTTCTTATCAATACATCGGGTGAAACAGTATCAGGTAAATTCTTTCTTAGAATTGTTTCTTGCTTTCATAACAAGTAAACGATTGTTTCGTTACAGCATCTTAGAATGCAAACGATTCAGTTCTTTTCTTGAAGTTTGAAACAATGTCAATACTGAGGTATGGTTTTAAGATCATAAATATGTGTATCTACTCATGCAACTAGGCATATGTTAAAATTTTTTTTTTAAATATTACACATCTAATTAACAACCATCGTACTGAATTAAATACTAAAAAAAAAAAACAAATATGTTATTCAAAAATTAAATAACTATATAAGTATGTGAATGTCACTTTTATGCCACTTGGATGGAGATGCATTGTCATCATACAGAATCATCGTTCATTATGACGAATTAAAGCACATAGTTATTACTATTGATTACTATTAATATAACGTCTTTTATATGCAATATTTTTCAAAATAACTTTATTTATAATTTCTTTATTAAAAAGTTATTACTCTTATATATCATTATATTATTATAATACTCTGTATCTTTAATGCAATCGCACGTATCTCTTTTAAAAGAAAATAAAGCAAGAAAATCAATGAATGATGTCAAACTGGTTAAGAAACAAAAAGATGCGAAACTCTATCTCTTTAATTCAGTTGAATAAACGTCAAAATATTAATGTCAAGTATTTTTGTTACATATATGTATATACGCATGCATGAATTGATAAATACTTTGCTAACAAATAAACTTCATTTTTCTCTCCATTTAGAGTAACATTTTAGTAACAATATTATTTATAAAATATAACAAATATGTAAACTTTAGAGTAATTTTAATTCGAAAAATTATGTTGTATATATATAAATTAATAATATGGCTTCTTTATGAATATGTAAAGATTAGGACTTTTTCTTAGTTATCAATCTAATTTTAAAAACTTTTGTTTGCGAACACAGAATTAATTCCGACATAAAGAACTCTAGAACCTTTTTCGCATCAGGCCATCTTTAGTAATCTGCCACTGATCATTGATAATTAAAAAATTAAGATATATATAAGTACCATGTAAAATAATGATTTTTATTTTTAAATCAAATTGTAATATTACATTTACCTTTATTTATCGTTAATAATTATATTTAAAAACAATTAATGTAAGTTATATATATGCAAACTAAGTTTTACAGGATACATCAATTATGTGCCTAATACTATGTTCAGATGAAAAGTAGTTATGGAGGTTAAGTCTTAAACTAATTGTTTAAGTCGCAATTTTCCATCCACATCATTTCTTGGTCTAAGTACTTTTATGTACAAGATTCATTTAAATATTAGATTTTATTTTTATATAAATTGTGATTAGACTGTTGTGTTGTATGTTGAAAATAATTTTGGTGTAAACATTTTACATGCCACATACATTAAATTTAAGTTAAGATCTTTTTATTCATTTTCAGACAAAAACAAATGAAAAGAAAAACGCATTTATCATTCTTACCTCTATGAATAAAAATAAATGTAAACATGAGAAAAATAAATAAAAAAAAGGCAGCGCCACAACGTTTTTATATTTATGCATAAAAATCAATGTAAACATAACTGAATGGTATATGTATGTATGTATATGATTTATATAAACAAAACTTAATGAATAAATTGCATAGGAATAAAATTTTAATATAATTGGAAGACAATTTATTTAATATATAATGAGAAATATATATTGTAATATATGTAACTTGTTCATAGCTATTAAAATAAGCGTAGCTGGTGGACAAGAGATACTCTATATTCTAATACTATTTGTGCGTCCATGCAGTTAATACTTGTACTCTTGCCGAGATTGATTCGTTATAATTTAGATTATGAATATCAGAAACAAGACTCGCGAATTTGGAGTTTTAAATTAAATATAATTTCATGTATTATTAGTTAACTCTCTTGGTTTTTGATTTTATTTATCCATTTCAATTTCGTAAATATGTGAAAAATCTTTCTGCATATTAGATCCGTAATATTTTCGCTTGTAGTTCCAAAGTATATAATTGATTTTAATATAAAAAAAATTATTTCCGTAAATCTCTATAGAATTATTAATGCCACAATTAAATGAATGTTGCTATCCTTTTTTGTAATTTGCTATTGCATCATTTGTAAAAATCGATTTTCCTCTAGCAAAGACGTAAGAGATGTTGTCATATCATTAATAATCATATTTGAATTGGGGTGAGTGCTGCTGGTGACATCTGGTTGCATAGTTGATATGTCTAACCAGTTTTGGCAGTTCTGTACATATTCCAAAGTACGTTGATATGTATCAGAATTCATCGTTTCTCGATTAGAACTGAAGCACATATTAAAATTATTAGTAGTAGATAATGCTAAAGCAGTAGTGTTAAGATGTGTAGAATGATTAAAGGCACTCGGATCATTTATTTGATTTACGTTTTCTGTTTTATTGAAGTCAATTTTTATTGTTTCTGCAGCTAAATTTTTAGTTAACGGAGCTGGAGATACCTGAGACTGACTTATGTCACCACATTGAATTTCTTCTTGAGTATTATTATGTACTGTTTGTCCCGGTAAGTGAACTGTTTGCTTTACAATCATTTTCTCTTTTTCCGGACCTTTGTTTTGATGATTTTGAATGGAAAACTCTATACCATTAACGTCATTACAATTAACTTCCATCAAACTGGTCATAGAACAGTCAGTGTCAGTTGTTGAAACTTTTTGCTGTTGAGTTTGTTGTTGGTTTTTGTTAATACTTGAAAGAGGCTTTGCAGATCTTTGTAAAATAAGTTTTTGATTGTTAAATTGGTCATTATTGATTTGCGATGGAGCGGTACATATTTCATACTTGCATTGACTGTAGGAGTTATTAATAGTAGAAATTGAGGTGGAATGTTGAGCAGCATCCGAAGGAAAATTTTTTGCTTGAGTGAATTCTGAAACGGCAAGAGCTGGATCTAAAGTACTGACTGGTACAATTGTGTCCACTGGTTTTTCTACTGCAGGCTTATCCGAAACTTCATTTAAATACTGTACCATTTCATCTGGTAAAACTAATTTGTTTTCAATTAGCTCATCTTCCTCTACTTCAGCTAAAGATACTTTTTGATTAGGATGATGCTCCCGTGATGCAGATAGATCATTTTTAGTGGATGCAGTTGCATTTTGACCTCTGACTTGGGTATTATTTGGATTACTGATACATGACAAAGAATCATTTTGTATAGGGGATAAAGCAGTAAACGAAGGCGATGGTGTTTGATTGCTAGCAATATTTGTTGGTGCAGATTGTCTGCGAATGCTTTCTGCACCTGCAACGAAGTTATTTGAGTGCTTGGAATGCAATAAATTCGGTATGGACAAACGACTGTTTTCAAATAGCTGATGGTTTTTTCTACTGTTTGATGAAGCTTGTAATCTCTGAAAATTTGATAAAATTATATGAGACGATGGTGGAGGAGGTAAACTAATGTTATTGGCATTTGACAATAAAACATTTTGATCGATTTCAGCAGCATTTCCACTATTTATAGTTCCTAAACATGTACTTGAGTTAGCATTAGACAACTGACTTGATCGACGAGAACATCCAGGAGAAATAGGATCATAAAACGAGCTCCCTGCACCTGCTGGACGCATTGTTGATATGGTTGATAAGTGTGAACACTGACTACTACGACGGCTCTGCATACTACAATAGTATGTACTAGCGTTTGAAGTTTGGCTATCTCTACGATTAGTGATTTGTTGCGAATGGTGTGTTACGTTATAAATATTATTACAAGGAAACCGCATATGAAGATCATTTAATAAATTATTTTCTTTTAAGGGCAGAAATTTTGAATATGTGGAATCATTATATTTTACTGGAGTGGACATTACTCCGGGTTCCATTTTTAATTCATTAATTCTTTGATTTAGCTCCCCTATTCCTATACCAACATTTCGATTTATTTCTGGAATATTTGTAAGTGGTGAATGAATCATATTACCACTCTTTGCATAGAGACGACTACGGAAGCTACGCTGCCTTGTTGTAGCTACACAATTTGCACCAACACAGTTGCTATGGGATGGAATATTTGTGCTGCCACCAATACCAACATTTATTGTTGTGCGTAAAGTAATTGGTAGATCTGTGGTATCTAAATCATCATCATAAGTCCAGTCTTCGTCATAATTTGAAGAGTTAAGTTCTTCGCGGCCATATATATTTCCTTCGGTACTATGTGTAACAGTTGTATTGTTATCATCATCAGCCAAACGCGTAGCTATATTTTGATGCGATCGGTTGTATTGATTATTATTCAAAGAACTATGTACAGTGTGAACACCTGGTGAATGAGCCTCTGTTTCCGATTTAATACTGGGACTGGATATGCTCATGGTTCTGCCTGAATAAAAGTCATCACTTCTAGGACTAACATCGATTTGATTCTGTTGTTGAGTTTGCTGAAAGTTGGAACCCATATTGCCAATTTTCGCACGTAATTTGCTATTTGAGTAGTTCCCATCGGTATTATTGTTTCCGCTATCATGATTAGATCCTTTATGCTTTTTATTTGCATAAAATTCAGCTCCATGTACTGTTTTAACATGTTTTCGAAGTGAACTAGGATCAGTGTACCGTTTTGTGCATCCAGGAGCTTTACAAACATAAGGTTTCTATTCAGAAAGAACAATAGATATTTAGTTTAACAAATATAGAACAAATTGGTACTCTTGTACATACCTCATTACTGTGGGTTCTGTTTTGATGTTTTGCTCGATCACTTGCATTACTAAATGCTTTGCTGCACCCAGGATATTCACACATATATGGCTTTTCTCCAGTATGTGAACGTAAGTGAGTCTTTAAGTTTTCTAAACGCGAATATGCTTTAAAACAGCCTTCAAACTAAAAGAAAAATAATATTAACCAAATACAATTATTAATAGTTGAACTGTTAAATAAAGTCAAGTTCTCATTATAACCTATTTAAATAATTACACTTACTGTGCATTTATGTGGCTTTTCGCCTGTATGCCTTCGCATGTGAACTACTAGCATATATTGAGCTTTAAATGGCTTTTCCCCTCGTGAACATTCATTCCATCCACAAACAAATGCTTTTTTATTGGTTTGGATATGCTCATTATTTATATGTCGTACAAGTTCTTCCTGAGTAGAAAATTCTATGTCACATTCACGCCAATGACAGTTTGTTTCAATAAAGTCTCCAGGTTCATCTTTTATATCAGTCGTATCTGCAGTATGGCATTCATCTGTGGGAGATGTTGTTGTAGTAGTATTACATTGGATATAGTTAGTTGCAAGCGACGAATTCAGAGCCTTTGTACAACGATGCCGACTGTTATTAACGGCCGAGGCACTATCTGCTTCAACTTGTGTTACTTTGTTTGAAGTTGATGAAGGCTGTTCGTTTTTAGACTTAGAAGTAGGTGACTCGTCGAAATTCTGGAAATCAACTTTTTAAGTTTTAAAGAAATTTCAAAAACCTAATTTAATGTTCAATGTTTGAGGAAGCTTTTTACATATATGTGTTGACAAAGCCTTCTTCAATTTTAAATAATTTTTATTACCATTTGTTGCTTTGAAGCCACATTACTATTGGCGCCATTCGTTCCCTTGTTACACTCTGTCTCATTAAATGCAGCAACTGTGACATTAGCGGTTTGCAACGGACGTATATTATTGTCTGTTTGGAACATATTTGTTCCTAACAATTGATGTGAAGGGAAAAAACCAGCACTTGCTCTTAACAAATGTGCTTGTAGCTGTTGCAAATGTGGAGCCATTGTGCTATGAATAGGGCTAATAGCGCCAGCGGAAAGATGGCCATATGAACCGCTCGCTACACTACCAGTACGGGAACCATTCATAATAGTTGCCAAAGAATTAGGTGAAAATCGTATCATTGAATTTATATCAAAAGAATCTGAATAGGGAGAGGATGAAAGTGCACGTTTTCGGCTAATACTCGTACGTAAGCTGCCATTTCGCGAATTATTTAGACGTGCAGTGCCATCAATGCTGAAATGAAACTCTGTACTAGAAAGTGAGTTAACAGCAGCTGCTGCTATTGCAGTTGCTGGATGTAGTTCGCCTATTGGCCCAATGCTGTGTGCTCCAATATAATCGTTAGAATTAATTCCAAGACCTGCTAAAGGAAATGCAGGTGCACAACTTCCATAAGGATCTGGATAAATAAAATACTTAGTTTAATACATCAAGAAAATATTTCATAATATTACCATGGAAAGAAGATGTTGGACTAGAGCGTTGTAAGGAATATAAATGCTCCATATATGGAATTCTATACGCTGGATGAAAATCATGTGGTTGGGTTTGGGGCGATGGAATGCTACTGGGACGCGAGTGATGATGTAATTGGTGGTGTGTATGATGGCTTAAGTTGTGTTGCCTTAAATTTTGCTGTTCGTTTATTACAATATTATTTTCAGGGACTAAACTATTATTGTTGAGAATGGTGTTGCTTGTGGATATTGTTGGTGCAGTTGGTTGGACTAAGTGAGGTGGTAGAACAGTTGATGCAGCTGCAGCAGCACGTCGAGATGCTAAGAATTGCAGCTCACTGTAACTAAATAACATAAATAAATAAATAGTTTTTGTATTCACAAATTATAGATAATAATATATTTTAGAATCCAGTTTAATTTCATTCAAAAATTTTTATTGACTATGTACTTATTCTTACTTGTTATTTATTTAGTGAGTATATAAAGCTATTTCACAAGTTCTTTATAGAATTAATAAATATTACAATTACGAGCACGTATTACTCATTTAAGTAAAGTATCTGATTAGAATTTAAACCGCTTCTTTATGCAAATCCATCGTACGACGTAGTCTCTATAGACTATGCACAATGGCAAAAAACCAAAATAAGGGAATGGATGAATGTGTTGTACTAAATGTATACGTGAAAATATAACTATATCTTACGTCTTACTTTTGTAATTCGACGAAATATATAATATACAATATATAATTCTGTTTTAAAAATTATAATTTAAAACTATATATATCACGCCTATTACATATTTTACAAAAATAATATATTGTGTTAAAACACATTACTGATCATATTATGTTTCAAAAATGAAAATTGTTTTTAGATTATCTCTTGTTTTAGTTGTAGATGTTATGTTTACTGTTGCACAGTCCCCTCTGCCCGTATGTGAAATCTGTTTTTGGAGCGATCACTGTTTCTTGTACTTTCGGAAGCAAAAAATGTGTATCTGTGTGCGAACGAATATAAAACGCGCCCTACTACATTAGAAATTATGTAAGTAAATCATAAAATGATGTGAGTAAGTATTCTTCGAATTCAGTACAGACTGAACGGAACGAACCAAAAGAGCGTGTATGCACAAATAAACTTCAACATTATGAATTTAATAAAGACATCATAAATTTTTATTTTGCCTGTGCTTATTTCCATTGCTCAGCAAAATTCAAAATTTGGTATATGGAATTTTAAATCATGAATTTGCATCATGCGCTAAGAAATTTAAGCTTCTTTATAAATGCTGCGCAATGTGATTTCTTCATAACTTCGTTCTTAGTTAAGCTGTGTGCGTGTGATGTCCATACTATACGTGCCTCTAGAAATAAAATTTATAGATACATAAAGTCGGAATATTTAATGTTCAACGAACAAAATAAACAAAACATTGTTTTGGCATATACTATTGTGGATAAGGGCACAATAATTGTGAAAAATTGTTCTTTTTTCAAGCCT